GGGGTAGGTCCCTGGCTGATGGGCCGAGCGGGGGGCCGCGGGGAGGAGAGGCCCAGGCACTGCCAGGCCCACCCTCTCTCACTCAGCCAGTCAGTTTCTCTTGTCTGTTTTACCTACTGGTAGTTTTTAAAAATTTTTTGTTTAATGATTTTCTGTCATAAAAAGAATTTGGGAAACCCCCAGTTTGGGACTGCCTCATTTTCTAAAAACGTTGTTCATCTTTTGCATTTCTTAGAAACCCAGAACTTGGTAACAACGACAGTCAGAAGGGCTGGTGGTTTCCGAGCTGGTTTAACAATGGGTAAGGCTGCAAGACAAAGGTCTGGCTTTTTCCACTCATCAATGTGTTTAGAGTCCAGATAAGCGGTTTCATGGTCATGACCTTCTCAGTCACTCATTTTTCTGGCTTATTAAAATCATACGAGGAATCTATTTGGTGGTTGGGACCAGAACCCTAAAGTTTTTTGTGTATTTTGTTTTTTTCCATTTAAGCTGGGGGTGCGTGGAGCTTGGGCTGAAGTTCAGATTGCGGGAAAGATGATCACAAGATAACATTTTCTTACGACTGTTTGATCAAGCGTCCCCCGCCCCCCCATAGTAACCTGAGGCCTGTTGGGTCATTAAATTGCTAACTGCTGACTTGAATGGATCATAACAAAAATGGGTACTGCGCGTTTTCATCCAAAGCATGTCTTCATGAATAATGGCCTTTTAGTATCATGAACCTCCTCCCGCCAGTCACTGCAGGTGTTCCCTGCCCCCCACCTCGCCTTTCCTGGCTGCCCCGTCCCTATAGACCCCCCTCCCGGCCTTACTCAGCTTGCTTTCCCTTTGTACCTAGGACCCGAGAGGAAGAAGACATAGACAGAGAGAAGGAAGACAATGAAGAAGAGCTTCAGCTGTCGGACTGGTTTAATCCAGAGTAAGAAAGAGTGGCGCCCACGTGCAGTAGGTCCACGGTTCAGCAGGGGGTGGCGGGGCTGTGCAGGCAACGGTGCCACTGAGAACGTCCCTGAGTGGGGAGACGTTCTGGCTTCTATTAGACCTTTAGCCACAGATCAGATGAGAAACTGAGAGTCTGGATGTTTTGACTCAAATGCTTGGTTTCTGGAAAGACTGAATAAGGTCTGGCAAGTTCTTTTATTGCGTTGGGATAGGAGATCCAAGCCAGTGTGGAAGGATGGGAATTTGGGGCTTCCCTGTATGATTGGATGAGATGGGCAACAGAGTAGACATCAGTGAGATGTGAAACCGTTACTGGAAATGTAAGAACATGGGCACATTGTTGCTTTGAGAAGCCCCTTAGGGGGGGTGTGTGTGTGTGTGTGTGTGTGTGTGTGTGTGTGTGTGTGTGTGTGTGTGTGTGTGTGTGTGTGTGTGTGTGTGTGTGTGTGGCGAAGGAGGGGGCATTAAGACCTCCCCAGGAGCAGACTAGAGGAGCCCGGGATGGTCAACAGGCTCCCTTCTAAGGGGAGCGGGACGGTTTTACTGTGATACTTGTGCTTTGCTGAACGTGACTTGGGTGGCAGGTCAGGGCTGAATTATTGGGGGCAGAAAGGAGGGACAGATGACGGCCACCAGCTGTCACTCTCTCCACTCTCCCCCATGCGTGGCTTAGCTTTTCTCTAAAGGAATGACAAGCAGATAGTTAAAGAATATTGGTTTGAAAGGACATCAAATTTAAGGCTTCTCAGGGCACCAGAGTGTATGTCTCTCATAAGTGAATGATTAGACAAACCACTGAACGAAAGAATAAATGTATTTCTATAAATGTCGCCTTTTCTGGAAACTGCCTAAAACATATCACAGTGTATCATGTACACGTTTACACATCAGGATCTCTCAGCTTCTGTGACAACAGATCCTCATAATTTCCCTCCTACTTCTCCGTTCTCCTTCCTCAGCCTTCTGGACAGGGGCTTCTCTCTCTTCCCGGCCTTCCCATCCTGGAGCTTCTGGAGGTCAAGTCCGGGAGCCTCATCTCTTTTCCACCTTCCAACGTGCTTCCTTCCGTTCCCAGGGCGTTAGATGCCACCCTTGTGAGAACGAGTCCCACGTTTGTATCTTTAGCCCGGAGGGGCCCTGACTCGGGTCTCACCACCTGCTTGGTGTCTCCGCACGTCTCCCCTGATCCCACCCCACCCTTGTTCCTCCCGGTTCCCATCTCAAGCCAGAGTCTGGGACCCCCCTTCCCCACTTGGCCCCCTCCTCCCTCCGCCCCACAGTCTAATTCGTGAACGTGTCCTGTGAATCCTTCCTCCAAAATTCTTCCCACACCATCTTCTCTGCATCTCACAGCCACCAGCCCCGTCCTGTCGCCATTCGCTGGGTCCCTCTCCAGCAGCTGCTGCTCAGAAGGCTCAGGAAATAGTGCGTTGTCTGCACGCCACATCTTTGTTGACCTGCACAATTCATGGAATTTTAACACTTCCTCCGCCCAGCCCTTGGATGGATACCACAGTGCTCCTTCCCATAACTAAGTACATAAAATACAAAAGGTACCAAGATCCCAAGCAGGTGTGGGTTTTGGTTCTGGAGGCCCTTTCATTTTGTGGGAAGCCTCTGGCCTCTACTGGTGGAACCACAGGAGCCGACGTGACACGGTGGGTGCCCTGCTTGGAAGGTTTTGGGGGCAGCTCCGAGTCTTTCCCAGCAGTGCTTTTCCTTCCTTTTAGAGCCCCACCTTTGTGACCTTGAACATCTCTGGCAGTTGAGAGTGGCAAAGGCTGGTTCTTACACGTGTGGCCTGCCCTCTGTCACTTCTTTTTCGGGAGGGGGAGGAGGTTTGTGGCGTTTGATGACTAAGCCGCCTTGATACAGAGATTCATCCAGGAAACTGATCTCATCCTCTGTCTCTCCCCACAGTCACCCCCCGCCTTCAAGTTATCTAGCTTCTTGGTCAGGGGCACTGACATGTTGAAATTGCCAGTGGAATTTAACAGCTGGGAAACAGAACATTTTAATTTTTAATTAAACATTAATTTTTAATATTGTTACTCCC